ACGGAGATCGTAAGAGGTTACCGGGGCTCCGGCTTTAAGTGCAGGAGTAGGAACGGGGTGGTTTTTAGTCAGTAAGAGACACTCCCTTCCGCCTCACTCAGGTGCGATGGATAAGTCATACGATAATATTCGGTCCTTAAAAAAATACAGACATTATTTGTCATTATTCCTATAAATATAACAGTTTTAGACTCCAAGTTATCAAAGGTAATTAAAATTAATTTGTCAATTATTGTCTAACCGCCATTTTGCAGTACTATTTTTAGCAACATCAGTTTTTCTATTAGAATGATGAAGAATCTCGTCAAATAGCCGTGGTGAATGTTCTAACGTGACGATGTAGTACAGTTATCCACTGAAGTATTATTTAGATAAATAACTTCGAACAAACTTACCTACTTAGATACTTTACATAAATAAGTCATAATTTCACGCTTAGTAGGCGTTTGAAGATCGGAATTTAAAAAGTTTGGTTTATTAGAAACAGCTTCTGCTAGCGGCTGCGCCCGCGGTTCTGTAGCCTATGTTATTATTATACCAGACCATTATCTATCCCTGTTTTTATAATAACTATCGTGAAACATACCAAATTAACTAAAACTTGCGGGTTACTCACGTGAATGTACTGAGAAAAGCTCTACTAGTTTCAAACGACAGAGGGGTTCTTCCTCATGAACAGCGTGCGCGGTCGCGGCGATGTCGCGCAGCCTACATTATCTATGCCTGTTCTAAATTCCATGCTTACCCCTTTCACTTGTTTCGACGTGAAGTAGCAATACACAAATAGACTTTTTCACATTTATATTATTATATTATGACACCCTACTAATATTATAAATGTGAAAAAGTCTATATAGTAGTACATTTACATAGATGTACTCCTTAGTCAGTGTTTATTACAACCCTGGATAGACTAGCGATGGCATCGAATGTATTCTACTCTGCTATGCAGCTTTCCAAAATAAAAAAAGTTAAATTACCATTTTTTTTTTTTAAAAGACTTCATGCACATACTAATGTACAAGGTGGGCTTAATGCCTAGGGCATTCTCCTCCAGCCAGACCTTTGGGTGATGCAGAGACAAAAACAATGGTCAATGCAAGATTATTATACCAGACAGTCGGGTAAAACAATGAGTAAAAATGAATCTGTCGAAAAAGTCACGTTTTGTTTTCTTAAACCAAATTTAGATTGTGTTTACAGTAATCACAACCATGACATCGTATTAAAATGAATTTGTAATAATATTTGCATTAAAACTCGCTGTTAGTACCTGTACTCTTAGTTTAGAAAGTGCGCATGCGCGCTCGGCTCGCGGATCAACGCTCATTACCCCAAGAGCTTGGTTTTTCTAAACTATGAATTTGTGGTTGGGGGCCTTTATACCGTGCGATTGCTTTACGACTGGCTGTACGTATAGATGTTAATATGTTTAGCCACATAGGTGTTCCAAGACATGCAAATCATTTGTCCTTTGGCGTACAAAAATAGTCCTATCATAATGACTATCATAGGACTTATTACACGACTAGTAAAAAGTAGACGTTACTTTTTTTAATGGAATAAGCTGATAAACGAGCAGACGAATTACCTGATGGTAAGCAATTGGCGTCGCCCATGGACACCTGGAACACCAGAGGCGTTCCAAGTGCGTTACTGGTCTTTCGGGGATTAGGAATTTGAGGATTATTGGAGATTCACGGATTGCGGTGATTGGAGAAGGGGGACGGTAATTGGGCCTTCGTTAACCTCACTCACACGACGAAACACAAAGCAAGCGTTGTTATTTTAATGTTCGTCTGGTAGATTATTTAAAAACATTAGACACGTATTAACCTAACTGACGGACTAATTAGATTTTTAATTTTCATACCCTATCATCATCCCTATTCTATAATGATTTTTTTTTCATTAATATTTATGTCCCTATTTCTAAATGATGTCAAAGATGGCAGAATGCCCAGCTGTCGATGTGATCTATAACATAACATAACATCACGCCTTTTATCCCCGAAGGGGTAGGCAGACGTGCACATTATGCCACTGTACAATGTAACACCCACTTTTCACTATTTATGTTATGAGTCCCATGTACTAGGGGGTGAGCCTATTGGTGATCTATACTATATAAAAGAAATACCATTAACCATCTGATAATTTAATCTATTTACACAGTACGATAAATATTCACATCGTGTCGTATCGCAGTCGTATCATATAAACGTAATTCTCAAACATTTGCAGCACTTACAGCGCTCGTTGCTCGTCCAGTCTCCTTTCACTAAATATAATGAGATGCACTCGTAAAAATTGCAGGCATTTTGCTTTATTTTATACGGAGCATACCGTTAGGAAATACTCGTATTTTTATCCGGGTACTTTCATAGCTAAGTTGTTATGCATAGCGTTAGTAAAAATTGCTGATGGAAAACTGCAAATGCCACGCCTCGCATTCGCCTACTTACATATTATTAATGATTTGATTTTATATGGTGTCTCGTTTTATTAACGTCACCTGTTTCAATTTGGTTGAATGAGTTTGACCAATTTAGTATAATTACTTTACTTCGATTTTAGAAACAGTTAAATTGATTTATAATCACAAAAGTAGAAACAAAACTGCGCTTTAAAACAAAATCATCTACTACTACCAATAAGGTAAGCTGAACGGCTCAAAATAAAATACAATGATTTCAACTGAAACCTGGATTAACTGAAGCGATAAAAAAAATGTTTAAATATAATTGTTGTGCTCATGATGATGAGATCAATAATAATGAAAATGATGAACACGATAGAAACTAGTAGGTAATTCTCAATACATGTATATAAAATAAATATTGCACAGTATACTATATATATACAGTATAGTATACTATATAAATAGTATATAGTGTACACTACACCCCTACCTTAGACTTCAAGCAATGTTTTGTAAGAAAACAAAACATTTGACAGAACTTTTGAAATTAATAATATTCAACAAACAAGCGGCTGACCAAACGGACGGCTGTAAATTCAGCATATTCGTTAATGAGACAGGAATCCAGTTGTTTGGTTCCACTATAAATTGCTACGTCGAGCGGTTACTGACCACAATTACATACATAACATCACGCCGAAGGGGTAGGCAGTGCACATTACGGCACTAAATGCCACTGTAGAATGTAACACCCACTTTTCACTATTTATGTTATAAGCCCCATGTAATAGGGGGTGAGCCTATTGCCATATACCGGGCATATTTCCAGACTCCGTACTACTACTGAGATTTTTTTAAACCCAGTAATACTTTGCCCGACCCGGGAATCGAACCCGAGACCTCTTGACTGACTGACCACAATTATACTGATAAAAGCTTCTCCTCAAATGTGGATTTCTGATCAAATTTAATTTCTATACTAGAAGTATATTATTACCCAAAAGGACAGATAAACCTGGAGCTCATCGGGCTCTATATGCATGGCAATAGGCTCACCCCTTATTACATGGGACTCATAACATAAATAGTGAACACCCACTGTATGTTACCACTGTACACAGTGGTATAATGTGCACCTTTGCCTACCCCTTCGGGGATAAAAGGCGTGATGATGTTATATTATTACTCATCGGGCTCTCTGATTAATAATTAGGGACACGAGTTGTTTTCGATAAAGGGTGAAAGATCACCTGCAAGACACCATACGAGAAAATTTCTACCTGGAGATTGACTTACTGTAACGTCTCTTTGCTGGTTAGATTTTGGTCCTATGTAGTTTCGAAATAGTGTATTAGCAGTTTAGGAAGATTTGTAATACCATTAACTGCCTCATTGGCCGAGTGGTCGCAATTGCGACTGCTGGGCAAGGGGTCTCGGGTTCGATTCCCATTAATTTCAAAATATGAATCGATTGCAAAATATTACTGAGTTTTTACAAAAAATCTCAGTAGTAGCACGGAGTCTGGAACTGTGCCCGGTATATGGCAATAGGCTCACCCCCTATTACATGGGACCCATAACATAAATAGTGAAAAGTGGGTGTTACATTGTACAGTGGCATTAAGTGCCGTAATGTACACCTCTGCCTATCCCTTCGGGGATAATAGGCGTGATGTTATTTATGTATGTATGTATGTAATACCATTAACACCTTTACTCAAGAATTAAACCCAACATACCTTGTTCAACAATCACTTACAACTACCAACGCAGTCCAATCCAGACAAAATGCTCCCAACACGTGGTTACAAAATTAAACACTCCTTCATTCCGATTCAAATGGATGCTGGGGGGAAAATGAATCCCAAATTGCTTGTGGCTTTCAGTCCCATGCAGTTTGCAGAGCTAACAACTTCAGCAAGGCTTTGAATTGCATTTTCAATTATGATTGTTCTACTTTGAAGTCCGAAGCAAATATTTTTCCGGAGCATTATGAGTTGTTCTGAAGTATGATAAGTATTTGATAAGGATTCGCTCTTATTTTAGTCTTTGAGTGTTTAAATATATTGCTATTAGGTTGAAATAAGAAAATAAATACTGAATAATACACGTAAATGCAATAATGTTGAATATCTCTGAAACTAGCAGGTTTCAGACTAGGGACCTGAGGTTGTAAATTAGTTGTATTATCACCTTCCGAGAGAAATATGTCGAATACGTAAAGGAAGATATGTGTATGAGAATTGAGACAGAAGAAAGGAGATTCTTATCTATTTAAAGTTATTAAAACATAACGACTGTGGTAAGGATGGAATGAGAAATGCATAACAAGGTACAAAAGTATGTTTTAATAAAATTGACAAATCTCAGTATCCACATCAGTACAGTATCAGAAATATGTTTTCAAACATAGAGTGTTAACAATCATCTCATATTATACCAAAAACACAATATACAAGGCAGTCAAAAATAATAGGTATGTACATGAAGCTTTTTCGTCTAAAGTCAGGTTCTATTAGAATTATGAACAGTTGTTGTCATAATAAACACTTCAAAAAATAATCCCATCACGCACCAGGATCTCAGGATCTTTAATTACACAACTCTATCACTGGTCACTTTCAATGTCCTATAAGCACCATGAGTCCCCTCATCAAGGTCATCATGGCGGTGCAATGATCTGCATGAGTGTGTGCGTGTGACCATGTCATAGGAGCCGTTGCTCCCGCGTAGAGTTCTGACTGCGCTTCGATGACGGGTGCGCGCACGCCCCTCGGGTTTGAGATCTGTGTCGTAGAATTTGCGTTCTTCTTTTTGCAGCCATTTTGAATTTGATAGCAATTTCTTTGTCCATTCGTCTGTGGATAAGAGATGGGTTTATATTATTAAAACTTTCGTGACACATACTAATTCATTATTATGCACACTTTATGCAGCAGCGCGACAGTGGCCACGTCGCGGGTTGCGGAATGCTGCACATGAATATGAGCCCCTAGTATAGGTTGAAACTAGTCAAGTTCCTCGTCAAACAGTTACGTGAGTAACCCGAAAACATAATAATTAAAGACATGAGATCTTTTTAATATTTTTCTTTTCAAAGAATGCTTGGGATTTGAAACAAATCTTTTTGTGTTGGATAATCCATTTATAGTATGCGTATAGTACGCAGCGTGATGGCTATAACACTTCACGCTACGATCACTAGGAGCCGAGCAGAGCGGGTGAAGCCGCGTGGAAGTAGCTAATATTTAGATATTCCGTATTTTAGTAACAACACCGTGGACCTAGAGAAATTTCAGATAAATAAAGGTAAAGGATACACACCATTCAGATCTTTCATTAGTCCAGCCCTCCCACCGTATTCATACGGTAGAGATTCAACAGCCAACCGATCTGAACCTAAGGCATCCTCAATGCTGTCTGAAGTACCATGAAGTTGCACCACTTTACGTCTCCAAGGGTACAGGCCAATGTGAAGTAAGAGCAGAGACATGGTCTTCAATCGCTGAGTATTGATGACGTGGACTTCTGCGATACGGAGTGGGTACGCAGTCTGAAAAGTTAACGAGTTTAGTTTTAAAGTAGGTAGGTCGTTAATTGAGTACAGCGCCATCTATTTTTAAGTAGTGGAACTAAAATTGATTTACTAGTTGTAGGTATTTGTCTATTTTATGTATTGCGTATTTTAAAACTATGTCCACGACGTAATTAACTTAATTCTTCTTGTTTCAATAAGTACCTATCTAGCTTCTTAATTGAGTTTCGATTTAATTTACCTTCATACACCAAACGAAGTCTTTCCAGTATGTGCCTCTGAAGTGGCTTTTGATGTGTGCTGGTTGGAGATCAGCTACGTCGATGAAGATCACCTCCTCGCCAGGAGTTGGATCGTCACGAAGTCTGGAAAAGAAATTGAATTATTTTATTCTAGAAGTTGTACTCACTAAATACTGACTAACAGTATTCAAAGATTTATGTTAGTTCCCCAGTCGAAAATAAAAATATTTATGCCATTGAAAATATAAGTAGGACTAAAGTAGTACAGGTTGGTAATGACTTTTCTTCGTTTTATTTTCTATTTTATATCAAGGTTTAAACCAACTTCAAAAACATAAAGTGTTGGTGAGTTTGACCTATATCACATTTTAATGTGGTTTTCAGGAAAGTGTATGTTACACTAAAGAGAAGGTTTTAGTATATTAATTAATTGACTAAAAGAAAAGAGGGGGTTGAAATCGGTTTTTTTTAAGTTAGTTTTTAAAAAGAATTATAATGACCATCTCATTTATATCACTATTTTTTGTGCTGTACCTACCTAGAACAATGTTGTTAGATCACCTTATATTAGATGCTTATACTATTATATACAGACATTCTATTAGGTGATAAATATATCGAGAAACATCAAAAGCACAACACCAAAATTTGTTAAACAAGAATAACTTCAAGTAGACTTAAACATCAATGTTCTTGATGACGAGACGTAACGATATGCAAACAGTTTGGCCCCACAATACTCCCTTGTGGCACTCCTTGTTTGTTCATATTGACACTGGTTCTTTGTTTCCACAATCTGGCTGTTGAGTCTGTTTACTTAGTTATGTTAGCGATAATGTAAAGCAAGGCTGTTTTGTATAAACGACTTCTTTGTTTTGAAGATTTTAAAGCGGCGCTGGTTGGTTATTTTGCACAAATATTGTTCTGTGTTTTTTTATTTTTACAACTTGACTAGGGTAAGATGTGAGTAGAATCCTCCGAAGGTGGTTTGTTGTCAAAAATTTACGTAGAATAGTATCTTTGAATAGCATGGTCTACTATATTCAAGCTTGTGTTACAAATTAATTAATTTTCTACTACTTTTCGACTTTTTTATCATGAGAGCATACAAGGTATCCCAGTACCGTACGTTTTAGAAAAATTTATCTAAATTTATCAATTCGAAAAAGTTATGACTTAATTTTTTCAAATCGATTTCAAGCTGAGTTTTCTCTATAGCTTTCATTACAAGAAGACGAGAAGTACCTGATGTCCAATATCATGAGCCACCTGGACAGCAACGCTTTAGCTGAGATCGGTCTGTCCAAAGCTGAGTGTGCTGGTAGTCTAAGCAAGGTGACTCGCCTTCCTCCCAGGCTACGAGATCGAAGTGGAACTATGTATCTGGAATAGTAAAAGAAGTTATTGTAAACTTTATGTAAGACGAATAAGGATTGTGTGATATAATTTTTAAATAACTGCCTCATTGGCTGAATGGTCGCTGGTGCGACTACTAGGCAAGGCGTCTCAGGTTCGATTCCCTTGACGGCAAAGTATTACTGGGTTTGTAAAAACCTCTGTAGTAGCACGGAGTCTGGAAATGTGCCCGGTATGTGGCAATAGGCTCACCCCCTATTACATGGGACTCATAACATAAATAGTGAAAAGTGGGTGTTACATTGTATAGTGGCATTAAGTGCTGTAATGTGCATCTCTGCCTACCCCTTCGGGGATAAAAGGCGTAATGTTATGTTAATGTTAATTTTTAAGTACTTCTTGCTTTACATTACTGACTTGTCGAAGCAAAGAGGCAATACAAATACTGAGTAAGTAGTCTCAGACTAGATGTCTGCACCGGGTAAGTTATTATTGGCCATTTTTGTGTAATTTCCAGTAGTTACGTTGAATCTGGCATTACAATTGGACCTGGCTCTACTATAACATTTGCAATCATGTGTCTACCCATTCGAGTGATGAAAGTCTTATTTTATTTAACTCGTCGAGTACCGGTTTTATAGACACAATTAAAGAACAATAGGTCGCGGTCACCGGTGACCGCTTGGTGTTTGACAGTTTAAGGTGTTACACTTGAAAATAATTATACAATTACGACTAAACAAAGACAGTTTAGTATCTAAGTAGTGATAAATCAATCTATAAAGATTTTCCTGTACATCAACGTCAGATGTAACGCTCCTGAAGAATACAAATTAGAGGCGGAAGCTATTAATGTCGGCCTGCTTGTCATAACATTCTTATACGTTCATGATTTCCTGGTATCAGGATGAGATATTTAATAGACTGCTCGATGACTGCTTCGATGGCCGAGTGGTCGCAAGTGCTAGACTACCGGGCAAGGGGTCTCGGATTCGATACCCGGATCTTGCAAAAAAAAATCTCAGTGGTAGCACGGAGTATGGAAATGTGTCCGGTATTTGGCAATAGGCTTACCCCCTATTACATAGGACTCATAACATAAATAGTGAAAAGTGGGTGTTACTTCTGTGTGCACCTCTGCCTACCCCTTCGGGGATAAAAGGCGTGATGTTATGTTATGTAGAAATTTTAATAATATAACTGACGAAAATTGTACTAACTATAGATACTTCTATAATGCTCCATTCTAAATCATTTATACTCACACATCTTGACAGCTAGACAGAATCTCTTCATCATCAGGGTGTCTCTTGTGCCATAACTCCGTCAATCCACCAGGTCCTCTAGCTGTGTAGTATCTCCTGGCCCTCTTGGCAGCTTCAGCCTCATTTCCCTCACAGGTAATGGGGAAGAGGCCCAGGACTACCAGTTCTTCTGGAGATGCTTCCCTGGTCAGGTTGTCACGAGCCCATCGTTGAGCGAACGACGCTGCTGGTGACATCCTTGAGCTGGAATGAGAGTTGAAGGTCATTAGGAATTATGTGCATGGTGAACATTTACGGTAGTTTCTAGTTCTTTTTGAGGACAGTTTTGAGAAGCTCGAGGAACTGATGATAAAGTAAGTAAAGTTGATCATTGAGTGAGTGAAGTTTAATGAGATGAACTTGCTTAAATATCGGATATTAAGGTAGGTTCCTCTCAACTTAGTTTTTGCTGTGACGTGGATGTTTAAGAAGATCTGCTTCTCATCGTGTATTGACGATTATTATTTAGGTCGGTCTTTTTTTACTCAATTTATTATATCTTATTTTATTGGTAGTAAAATAAAATGTATCTATTAATAATATGTATCTGTCGCAGTAAGATAGATGTAGCCGTCTATTACAATTATACAAATTCTTTATTATGTTGGATTTATGCGTGTATAAGTAATATATATTTATTTTATATGTTTTTACTGTTTTATTTTGATTAGTGTGTAAATAGTTTTAAGTTTTCATTGTCTGCTTCTTTACTGTTTTTTGTTTTTGTTGTTACACACTGTGTCATATGACGTATTTATTTCGCCTCTCACAGGTCTGCAGAAAGGTAAGGTAAGGTCTGAAGAAATTTCATATGTAGTACATTTGTACCTGTGTTTTATTATATTTTTTCCTATGTATTGTATGTGTTGTGTAGGTACATAAACTAATAAATAAATAAGTATATCAGTAACATAATAGAACAAAAGTTGAGCAAGAATCTTACGGAAAGACAACTTTATCCGATTCCTGTCATCTAAACTAGATTTCCCGACCAAAAAGGCAGAGTATCTCGTGAGATACTACCGTGGTATTAAGTTACTTTTTTTAGTTTAATTATCGCATTATAATGTAAAATGTGACAAAGCTTATGTCACACTATTGCTCACGACTCTGTCCTTGCTTTGTTGTGAATAAAACAATATGCGACCACCAGAAGTCTTGTCCAAGGGCATGCTTTTAACCTTAGTAAGTGGTCTCACAAAAACATGGTTGGCTTACTTGGTACCTATTAGATTGCATGCTCTGGTGATTTAAAGGTAAACCGTTTAAATCGGTGTGAATTGGAGGGGTTTTACAGTGACTCACTGTGTCGGTTTAAGGAAAAAGTTGTTTAAATTATGGTAAAAATGTTGTGTGATTATATTGTCTTGCTTGATGATTTAAAGAAGATAACTATAGTATATATGGTAAATACATGAATAATTTAAATCCTTACTATCCTTACTATCCTTACTTATATATATAATTATATATATTCTAAATCGGAAAGTGAGTTTGTTTGTTTGTTTCGCTTTCACGCAATAACTACTAAACCGATTGCTTTGGAATTTTGCAGACGTAAAGTTCAAAGTCCGGATTAAATAATAGGGTACTTTTTATCCCGGAAAAATTTGATATTTCCGAGGGTAAACAAAATTATCGGTATAGATGGCGCTGTGTGTATTGGTATATATTACATATTACTTTTTACCCTTTTGTGACGCGAGCGAAGCCGCGGGTAAAAGCTAGTATAGTATCTTTATTCAGTTTCACGATTAGGGATTTAGATCGAAAAAGGAGAAAGGGGGTGAGGCGGGAGGGAGTGTCAGACTCTTACTAACTAAAAACCACACCGTTCCTATTCGTGCTCTTCGAGCCGTAGTCCTGGTAACTTGTTAGGCCTTTTACGCCTCCATATTTTGAAATAGCTAGCCTTCTATAGTAGACCCAATTAGTTTGCCAGGTAAAAATGTGTCAATGTTAACAATTACTTCACTCCGTTTACTGACTGTATGATATATTAGTCTATACACTATCCCTTTGTAGTACCACCACGAATGGTACGTACTTCTAGGACGAACAATCCATTTACCGTTCTATGTATACATAATCAGAAGTACTTATAAGCACGTTGACCTTTCTGACTCAGATAGGCTGAGAAAATTATTTGTTAAGCAAAACAATAGTGACATTTTGAGAACGCGTCCATCGCGGCCTTTGTTCAAAACTTGACAAATTTTTGCCTATTAATTATTCAATGTATTGTAAAATTTACTGTTTTGTAGGTATTGAGATACCGGTAGATTACTTTTTGCTACATTTTGGTGGTTTCGACTTTATTATTCGACATTATTTTATATTCAAAGTTTCGTGAGGCATACTTAATAAATTATTGTGTTCTAGGCTTACTCACATAGCTGTTTGGCGAGAAACTCGACTAGGTTCAAGACATGCTAGAGAGGCAGCAGCAGGTCGATATGTGCCGTATCACGGGTCGCGGATTGCTCATGAATATGAGCCTCTAATAACGGCTCGTCGCGTTCTGCGCGCGGCTCAAAGAGCCATCAGACCAATAGGGCTGATGCCGATATGGAGCCGCGGAGATCGTAAAAGGTTACCGGCGCTCCGGCTCGAAGTGCAGGAGTTGGAACGGGGTGGTATTTAGTTAGTAAGAGTCTGACACTCACTCTCGCCTCACCCGGGCGGGAGCAGTCATTCGATGATTTTACTCCCTTAAAAATAGCATGGCTTGAAACCAGTCGAGTTCCTAGTCAAACAGTTACTAGAGTAAGCCAAAGACATAATAATTGTGTTTTGTTCAAACAGATGTATTTGGATGGGACCTTATTTTGATATTGTTTTGTTTTCGAGTAGCAATATTAAATTAAGATTGCATCTTAATTGTGTGACAATGGTTTATTAAAAGCATTGTTAATACTATTCTTAGCCACACATAATGATAAATTAAACTTAATAATAAAGCGATTCATCCATTTTTTTATTCTTAAAGCGTATTATAGGCAGTCACTAGACATAATAAAAATGGTAATCTATTAACTGACAACATTTACCATAATTATCACATAAGTGCAATTCGTAGACTTTTGTCTTTTACCATGAAATCTATTTCGTTTTTATTCCGCGGCAAAACAACTTGCCATAAGCAGTACTTTAGATGCATAAAGTAAAAACAAAAAAAATAAGGTGTAATTTTTTTGTAGCTTAAAAACGCACATGAAATACTAGACGTAAAGTAGGCACTATTCGCATCGCACGTGCCACTCGACGAGAAATACCTCTTCGAAAATTACATATCGTGATGTTTTGATAATGTACTATGAGTTCGTATGAGTTGTCGACGTTTGCTTTGCTGCATGACTTTCTTTTCTTTACCAAACTATTGTATTACGAAGACAGAACTATTTTACTTCGGGACGAAACCGAAATACATTTCACGGTGTATGTTAACATCAAAAAACATGTCTGACATGGCCCTTCATAATAAGCACCTACTATCCGTTCCATAAACATTATTACGACATCAACGTTTCAACATATAGGAAACTATGGCCTTTTTAGCCGGATACTACACTATGTACAAATTATGTTATTTACCTAATTACATACAAATACATAAGTATGTTATCTAAAGTATGTATCGTAATTAATATGATTTCCATAACAACTATTAATTTATAATAACATATAGATATAGTTGGTGGTCTTTTTAACACGTTAAACGCCATGGGGGTCACCGGTGACCGGCGTTAGCGGAGATTTTACCTTCAACAGTTTTTTATTGGCAGTCAAAGTCTTAAATGTAGTTCACAACTAAAAAAATTATTATTCAATTTAACAGCTCGTGACAGAACTACTCGGCTATTGAATATTCTTCTAGGTTGGCTAACGCGGTGTAAAATGATCAACTTTATCAAAGAACGTTGCTGTCTAGACAGTGCCTAGGGCGCGCAACTGTCCACAAAGTGGCGACAGCACAAAAAAGTGAAGGGCGTCTATGAGATGCCTGCGTAGGGTGATCTCTAGATTAGATCTGCCTCGGTATCCAGACTCTGTTTCATGTGTAATACCTCGTTATTTTTTTTTGGGACAAGCTCGCCACAACCTCCCAAAACCGCTGCAACTCCTGTAAGCCAGGATCTACAGTAGATACAACCATGCAAACACCGGAACATTGAAGTCCGGAGCGTCCCAGAGACATGAGTAACTGTCTTGGTTCCCGCAACGAAGTGAATCAGAAGATATTATAAGAGGAGAAGAAAAAACTATAGTTTCCACTTCCCTCGGTGAATTACTGCAGGAGACAGAATGAATTAAGCCTAAAGGCACAAAGAAGAGACTGTACAACTGGATGAAGCCCAGTCGCCAAGCACCACGGAAATTTGACTTAAAACTAAGTGGGTCCTGTGTGTGAGCTGTTATACTTGCTTCCAATAATAGGTATGGCAAAAGCGCCTAAACGCACGGAAATTCGTCCTAGATTCCACAATGCGATTCCAATAGGCTAGACCTGACGAAACAATTAAATTATTTAACATAGTCTTACGTTCATATTGCCAGAGATCACACTCCCAGAGTATGTGATGGGCTGACTGGTCGTATTTATAATCCCTCGTTAGTGACAAGTGCGTTCTACATTGTAGTCACTCTGGGACTATTTTGTACTTTCCCAACTATTAAATCTAAATACTTTAATGTATTTTCGAAGACATGCAATCTTGTCCATAGCACTTAAGAACTTGAACCAATTCGTGTCTAAAACAAATTCATCACAGACTTTTACCAAGCAATAAACGTCCGTGAACGTAATCGAATAACAATCAAATTCCAATAAAAGTCAGCACGAGAATTTCAAAATGTGTGCAGTATATGCAACATTTACGGACAAAACTATTGTTCGGTAAATATCATGCGGTATCCTATCACGGAGTCTCCTTGACATTACGCGAGGAACTCTGCCTGTCTCTCTAATGTCAAATTGGTAGGGTGACATTGTTTCTATGACATTTATTTTTAAGGCATTTATTTAAGACATTTTTGATTTTAGCGGCTTTTTGAAAATCTCTGATTTACTCGTTGAGAGATACTTACTGACGGAATGTATTATTTATTTATTTCATCATCATCATCATCACATAAACAGCTTATAAATGACCACTGCTGAGCAAAGGCCTCTCCTCACATAGAGAAGGTTAAGTATTAATCACCACGCTTGCTCAATGCTCTTAAT